TTTTTTCAAATCATATATTTTTTTTTAATATATTTTCTTAATATCTCATAACATAAAATTATGAGCTTTTGATTTTTTACCATGTAATTTATTATTCAACAAAAATTTTGGATTTTTCAAAACACAAACACGGTGATATATTCTGTTAATCAATGGATACACTTATATATACATAAGTGTACCTACTGATTATTTATAGTTCATATAATTATAAACAATAAAATATTATTCAACAAAATTACTTTTTAAACTTACTTTACTTTACTTTCCATTTTATCTTATGGACCTATTTTTGGATACCCCTTATAGTATGATCTTTAATTTTTTATTAGTGATTCATTTAAAATTAACAAAATTAACCATGAAATATTGTGAAAGATTTTGATTATTTTTTCAGTACAGTATAGTTCTATATCATGAATTCTATTATTGCTGCTGTTTGTTTTTAATATTGCATGATATTAAAACTTATTAGTGACTCATTTTTTATTAGTTTATTTACTGTATGTATTTTCATTCAGTCAGGACATCTATTTTGATTAACTATTTCAATATTGATTAATTTTACCATGTGTGCCCTTTCTTAAGCACTTATTCATATTTTCCGAACGATCTCTTGTGTCGGCCTCACCCATATAAGTACCTCTATGATTATGAAGAGCAAATAAATACGTACATTGTGTTCATAGACACAAACGCAGAACAAACATCGTGAAAATTGCGTAGGCTTATATATTATACTAGCAATACATGTATTATCGTCACATATGTGGAATATCTCTAGCAATTTGTACTCAACTAAGATAGATTATGGGATTGCTCATAAATGGATTAATGGTGAAGCTGTACTAATTTGTATAAACAGGTTTGGGATTTCGATAGAGCTGATCAAAATTATTCACAATTATCATGATTAAGTTGACGAAAAATTAATTTATCAGTTGTCTTTTGTACTAGGTGTATTATCAACACATATATCTTCAGCAAATTGTACAAGTAACATAGATTAGTAAGATAGATTATGGGATTGGTCACAAATTGATTGATTGAATTATTTATATGACTGTACTGCATTGAGAAAATGATCAAAATTTTTCACAATATTTTATGGATAATTTTGTTAACGTTGAATTTTGATAACGTTAAAAAATGAAATAACACACCATAACTAGGGGTATCCAAAAT